CCTTCCAACATTATGGATCTGACATCAATTAACAATGAAAAATGCTTTAAGTAAACAGAGTGTTACATAAGCCAGGACCAGGCAAGGAGTCACCTGAATTTTAAGCACAATAATTCACTAAATGAGCTTCTAATTTATGTGATCAGCTTATTCAGTTAGTAAGAGTTTCAAATGTACTGGCAGGTTCTATTGCATTCTTCCAATTAACATCTTCCCAATAAACTCTCTCTTTTAAAGAATTTAAATCATCTTACCAGCAATAATTAATAGTATAATGTTTAATCATAACATTTAAAAAGGTGCTTAAATGAGATAGATATATTTCTTTAATATACTTTGAAAAATTGCCTTCACTGCATATATACCACAATTAGATCTAGCCTACATGTCATTCCTCATTTAAAAGTTTAAAATGTCTGATAGAAGATGACAAAATCACCCCACACAACCTTCCTCCAAAGCTGAAACTCACTCATAAAAGGAATTTATAATGCAGGTTTTCAAGTCAAATTTTAAAAATACACCTTAAAAATCATAGCTATGAATACAAGTTAAAATTCTGGCCACAGTGAAAGACACTCTAGAACAGGGGTGGGCAAACTTTTTGACTCGAGGGCCACAATGGGTTCTTAAACTGGACCGGAGGGCCGGAACAAAAGCATGGATGGAGTGTTTGTGTGAACTAATATAAATTCAAAGTAAACATCATTACATAAAAGGGTATGGTCTTTTTTTTTTTTAGTTTTATTCATTTCAAACGGGCCGGATCCAGCCCGCGGGCCGTAGTTTGCCCACGGCTGCTCTAGAAAGTAGCAAGAGACTATAAACCTAGAGATGAACCTTCTTTAGGTTTATCTTATTTAATGACTAGAGGCCCAGTGCATCAATTTGTGCACAGGTGGGGTCTGGCTGGCCCGGCCCCAATAGGGGTGGATCGGGGCCGGGCCTTTCAGAAGGAGGCAGCTGCTGGAGGTTAGCCAGCTGGCCTGCCCCTGATCAGACCTGATCAGGGCTGGGCTGGCTGGGGGAAGGGGCTGTGGGCAATTGGCTGAGGGGACCAGCCCCCGATTGGGGTGGAGGGGGCCGACTGGAGGCGGGACCGGCCATGGGGAGGGGATGTGGGCAGGTCGGCCCCACCCCCAATTGGTGGAGGGGGGGGGGCAATCAGGGGCAGAGCTGGCTGGGGGGAGGGGTCATGGGGGGATAGGGGGGGGG